GGAAGAGCGATTTTCACGTTGTGCAACTTTCGGCTTTCACGCCAGGTGTGAGAATATATCACGGTATCCCCGGCTCACAAAAATCACATAGAAATGCATGGACGATGATTCATCTCGTTTGAAAATATCAATAGCCATTATTATGAAGGTTAATTTTAACGATCATTTACATACCTTCAGTCAATTGCAATATCATCTAATTAGTTCTCGACATTTCTTCGACAAGCAAGAAGGCAGAAGAAAATTGATCGAACGGCTATTTATAAACAATGAGCTACTATTATAATAATAGGAAGACTACTACTATTCGATAAAGTGCCTAAATTACAGATTCTTTTGAGATTTTTCGTTGATAATAATGAAAAAGTAATCAAAGCCGATAATAAAAATAAGAGTGAGAAAGCGCGGGAGCGAAAGAATGAAAATTAGAGAGAGAGAGAGAGAGAGAGAGAGAGAGAGAGAGCGCGACGGAGGGAGGGGGATAATGCCATTCAAAGGGAAAACACTGTCCAAATTATAAGATTGTTAAGAATATAATATTGCGAGGTAATCAAAATGAAAAAGACATCGCGTGATTAACGGGAATCTAATCGACTCTACTCTGCGGCAAGTATTTCTCCTGGATTAAAAATAATAATTACCGTTGCTGTGTCAGATTGAAATCGACACGACCGCATTGAAATTCGCAACTGACTGTGCGCATTTTTTCACAGAAACGGACACGTCATGCCCATTGTGGTACGCGGGTGAGAGACATCGAGGCTAATCCCCGCGCAATCCCTAGATACAGTAATAACCATAATAATAGAATGACGCCACCTATCGTTTTTCATTTATCAATGGCGCTATTATTTCACCGCGTTGTGAAGAAATGAAAAACAATAGAGGCTAAACAAAACGAAGATCGGAGAATTTGACGTAGGTATGGAGAAATAGGTAGGTAGGTCGATAGATAGATAGTTGGTTCGAGTGAAATGTTGGCGAGGAAGGGGAAGGAAGGGGAGGTTGGCGAGGGAGGGCGGGAAAGCGTGGTGGGGGGAGGCAGGAGATTTGATTAAATGAAAATTGTCTAGAATGTCAAGGATCGTTGGACGCGCGATTCGGTTAGTATCGTGCCGAGGTGTTGGTGCATGGCCAACCATCGATCGAGCGGGAATGTGATCGTCCAACGGAGGCTTCATCAAAGCTTTGATATTACATCGGCGAAGGAAGTTGCACCGAGAGTTCCGAACTTAATAGGCTAATCGCTCATTATCACAATAAATTCGTTAAAGAAAATCTGCCGAGCGCCGTGACGGCCCGGCTTTCGCGTTCGCGTCTCCACGGTAACCCCTAACCTCTAACGGAGGAGTAGAGGTAAAGCCTTGGAGCACCAGCGGCTAGAGCTCGTCGTGCCACCGGGGCAAGAGGTCCAGCACCTCGTCTCTGATGCTCTCGGCTCTAGTGGCCGAGAGTCGGGTGCTACCCGTCAATCTCCTGCCTCGACGCTTCCCGGTGTAGAGGGCGAGGGTCGGGTAGGCGCGGATGCCCGCCTGACTGCACTGGTAGTGGTACTGCTCGCAGTTTAGCCTTGCCAGTCGAACTTTACCCTCCAGCAGCTGAAACAGACTCGTTCGTCGCGTTTAAGTTCACGTCCGTGAGATCGGACACTAAGGCTTGACTAGCCAACCCAAGTGCGTTTAAACGACTTGTTAACGTTTTAAGGAGGAGAAGGAGCGCTGGACCTCTGTTACGATGATGCAAAAGATGAATGGATTGTTGGAGAGAGGTGGGTTGGGGTGGGTTTGGTAAGACATCTGATAAGGTGCAATTTTTTATGGAGTCACGTTACAGTCTATTGATCGAAGATACATTATCGAAACGTTTAGTTTTATTTTCTCTGTTATGCTGCGAGTATTAATAATTATTTGTGATGGCATACAATCGATTGGCTTTTACTCGTGCGGTAACAAAGCTTATGATTTTATATCGCAAGTTCGTTTCAATTCCATTAGTTTTCTGTACTTGTTAGCCACAATCTCTTGATAACAATATCAAACCACTAACTGCACGTTTCACAATGCGAACTTGAATGTAAAATTATCTATCATGTCCTCCTTGAAATTTTTTTACTGGAATGTACTTCACATTTTTTCATTCAATTTTTCGGATGAAATTAAAATAAATGCAAAAAATTGTCGTGTCAAAATGATTATAATCACATTATTAATTTGAAATCACATCTAATAAAATTACATCAATCGTGTATGGCAAAAATTTATCAAAATGCAAAATTCCAATTCCCCAAGAAGATTGCATAATCGATATTATGTGAACAAATAAGGTCGATTCACATTGTAATTAACAAGTTTATCTAGTTGAATTCGATATAATGTCAGCTTTCGTTAATTAGATTATACAAACGACTAATATAACTTAGATTTTTAAATATATCAATCAATTCTAAATTAATATTTTAAAACGTATACAATAATATTCATTTTCTAAGCTTTTTCATCAGACATTAGAGTGCGATATAAATATATGCTATATATATATGTTATGTTTTAAACATATATTTTTAAGTTGTCGGCATACATAAATTATATAATTGTAAATGCAATTTTAAAGTAATGCATTGTAATTTGTTTATACAAAGTAACTGAAATTGTAGATTTTATAAAGAACTTTTAAAATAAATCTTTTGAAATAAATATTTTTTCACTTTGTTGATATATCATTTAACATGTACTGCATATATATATATATATATACAATTACAAATATTTATTTAAGTAATATGTTGCAAAAAAAAAAAAAATGAAAATATTTAAAAAAGAGAAAACTGCGATTTTTAAAATTTATTCATTCATGCCGAGTTTGATTTACAAAATTTTACCGACTTACGTTTAATATAAACAAATGCATAATTATTTAATAAATATAGAATATCTTCCGAATACATTGACTACCGATTTTAACAGTCGATATATATATATATATATATATATATATATATATATATATATATATATATATAGTGTAACAGCATCAATTTAATCGGAGAAGCGCAAGCTACACGATATATTAATAGAAAATCATCGTTATTCTCCATTCGTCAGATTCGATGATGTTTAAAGCCAATCATTGGATGATGATCAATAATAATTTATATCTTGAAATTCATGTAAGAGCGTTTGAGTAAAGCAGTGACTCACCTGAGCAGCTATCGCAAATTGGGGTTCCAAAATTATGCAGTGACTGCACCAGGGCGCGAAATAATCGACCAACACTACATCGTCAGTTTTCAAAACCGCCTTCTCCAAGTTCGCCTCATTCAACTCTTGTACCTTCACTGGTAAAAATTGTGTGACAAACTTCAATAGAGACGAAGTGTCTCTCTGTCCACTATACAATCTGCAATTTTCCATTAAACGGACGAAATAATAAACAACTATATTGCTCGCTTAATATTAAACGAGAGGCTACTTACACCACGGAATTCAATCCCTCACTACCAATTGGATATAACCTGATTGTCGGATAGCTACGCACATTTTGCCCCGAGCATATCGACTTCTCGGCCTCGCAATCAACGCTCGCTACTTTAACGAAGGAAAGGAGCTTGAGTGCTTTTGCCACTCCCGTCCATTCGGAAGCCAACTGCTGGCAGGGCTTGCACCAAGGTGCAAAGTAATCCACTATCCACAAGTGATTGGCTCTTTTCTTACCGAGCTTTTGATTAAAGCTCTTGGACGTCAGATGCAATACTGAAACATGATCTCGCGTGAGATGAAATTGCCCGATGAATTCGTGATTAGTTGGATGTATGTACCTGTTGGGTTCATGGCTTCGTTGATGAATTCTATGATGTGCGAGGCCGTTCGCTGGGTTGTAAAGTGAAATGTATTTGTGCCATTGACGAGTGTGGCCGTTGGATAGGATTGGATATTGTAGCGCTTGCAAATGTCCGAGTGGGTCGTACAGTCAACAGTTCCAAAATGCACGACCGAAGAGTCGAATTCTAACGACGCTTTGCGCACTTCTGGGAGAAATTTTAAACAAGGCGGACACCAGGGTGCATACCAATCGAGAAACCAGGCTTCGCCTGCCAAAATCCCAAGATACAGCGTTGATAATAATTGAGTAATTGAGTGGTGCACGCCATTGCACTAGAGTAACGACTGATTTATTCGATACCTACCGCTTTCTTTGTTTAATATCGAGTGAACTTTATCCGCGGAGAGTGCCCAAACGTTTTCTGCTTTCAGACTATTCTTAGCGAAATTCGCAACGTCGTTCATTCTATTCTTCCCGTGGCTTATTTCGAATGCGCCTCCGGGCTTCAAAACAGCCCAAGTAGGATACCGATTAATGTTCAGTTTTTTACATAATTTTGAGTATCGTCCACAATTAATTTTGCCTGGGGGATTATAATTGTTAAAACTGATTTTTTTTTGTTTTGTTTTTCCACACATGTTATGTCGCAAACAATGCAAATTTTATGTCCTTTACCTAATGCTACGTCCTTCAATACACTGGGTAATTGCTTTAGTAAGATATCCAAGTCTGTATCATGGCCAATATAGAAGCAAAATAGCCATCCGTTACCACTTTTCTTTGTTACTTTACCTAAAATATCCTGTCAGTGATGTTTGTTACATTTCTTGGTAAATTTTATAAAAAAAAAAAAAAGAAATAAAGAAAGAAAAAGAAAGTAAAGAGAGAGAGAGAGAGAGAGCGTCGATTACGAAGATGTTTAATTACATTATACTCATCGTCATTAATATCTTGTGGTTCGGGCAATTGTTCTAAAATTTTTTTAACCAAATCCTCAACCTCTACAATATCATTGATTAATGTAGGCTTAACATCAGCATTAAGCTTAGATGGTAGATAAACGGCAGTGGTCGAGTCCGAGATAATATCGTGGCATTTACTATCTTTGCATTCAAATACTTTAACATGGATCATTTTATCCTAAAAGAAATTCTGCACTGAAATGTTCTTTAAATACATGTAATATAAACATAACTCATAGAGTGTGTATTAATTTTGTGAAGCCGATTCAATGGAATAAACAACGCAACACGATTTACTTTGTCTAATAAAATATGGTTGATATGCAAAAAAACTTACAAAAGTAGCAGCAACTCTTAATCGTTCGTCCGATGTAAAACAGTAATTAACATCTTTGCAGATGAAAATTAACATTGGCTTTTCTTTCAAACCTTTTCCTTTTAACAGACTAGTCCAAACTGATTTACTAATTTCAGGTATGTCTATATGAAGCTTATCCAACACAAACTTCATAATTGCTTCGTAGGTTTTCTCATTTTTATATTTCAGTCCTTGATGAGAATTCTACGACGTGAGCATGGCTTTAATAATAATTTAGGCATAATAATAATTGTATTCTTGTTGAAAGTAATTTAATTACCACTGGATAATATAATAAGGTAGGATACGATTGTATTCCAACTTGGGAGCACAAGTGCCAATCGTCTTCGCAATTAACTGCGCCGATCCTAATGACTCCTTCAAGTTTTTTAGCAAGTTTCCTCCAAACTGGAGCCAAATGATGACAGTGACTACATTGTGGTGAATAAAAATTAATAAACCACATTTTCTCCGAAGCAGTTACACTCTCAACTAAATAAATAATTAGTTATACGTTGAATTTTATAAATTAATTTTTCAAATTAATTAATGCTCTACTAAAGCCACTTACAGTAATCGTTTATATTGAGAGTAACAATTTGAGGATCATCGTCGTAGATTCCAAAATTATTCTGATAGTACGTATACGAATGATAATTCCTGCGGCTTTTAGAATCATCGAGACCATCCTCCCCGTATAAGTCATATTTCTTCCTTAAGTCGGGATCTTTCAAAACTTCGTAAGCAGTCGTCAGTTTTATAAATTTAACATGAGCATCCGGATCGTCCTAAATTTTTCAAAATCCATTACAAAAAAAATTCAGACGCAGTAAACATTAATTACAAGAGCAAATCACAAATTACAGTTTTCTTATCTGGATGCTCGGTGACTGCAAGTTTCTTAAAGGCCTTTCTAATATCTCGTTGATCGGCAGTCCTCTCAACACCCAACAATTTATAATAGTCCTCGGCCCAGGTAAGAGTTAGAAAGACAAAGAGAGTGAACGATACTCCAATATTCCTAAATAACATTGACAAAAATCACCATTACGCATAAGCTTGATAACAAATATTTATTATTGAACGCCAATTGTTAATACAAGAAACAGTACGACAACATTATCTCAATCAAAACATCCAATAAAACATACAAAACCAAAACTTAAATCAAAATAATACATCACTGTTTTCATTGTCATTCGTTTATTACATAAATAATTGATATTTAAATATCCAATATAACTAGCAATAAACGCCAATTACTCACATTTTCGTAATCGATTAGCTGCAGCTTCCCACCAAAAGCATTAAATTCACCATAAAGAATTTATTAATACATAATTGTGACTTTAAATTCACTTCTTCTAACTCTAATCTCGTTATTATGAAACGCCTACGCTTAAAGATAAGCTCCTCGGTCCATACCGTATTTGGAATTCACGTCTATTTCCCGGAATCTAACCTTATCTAGGCAACCGAGCGGGCGCGCGCGCGCCCGCACACACACCCAACGAACGCACAATGCGTTGTATTTTTTGACAGGTTGTAGCAAAGCGTCGTCAGCAGCGCCATCGAGTGGCGCTAAAATTTTAAAACAACATTAGCGTTCGTCCTTAGTTACTAATATAACGATTAATAATATTGCGACGTATATAATCTTGTTGACCTTTCAATTACTGTCGAGCACATATTGCAAACATAAAAGCTAGAATAAAACGATCGCCTGATAATGCATTTAATAAATCTAATACCTGAGGTAGTGTTAAATGCCGAGAAGGTAAACTATATTATTGGTCTATGTTTATCATTGTCTATGATTATATAATGTGACCGATGTTTGAGGCTCGATACAATTTTTCAATTAGCCCAAACCTGTTTTAAAACACACGTGCAGAATACCATCCGAGCCAGACGAAGTTGATAAATTAATAAAAGGTAGCGATTTATTTTCATATGTGAATCGCTGGTTCATGCGTAAGCGCATTTTATCACCTAATCAGTATTACGCTCAAACTTATCTGAAAAGTACGACAGCGATTAAGCGTGAAATAAATAATCATCTGCTAAAATTCCCTTTTATGATCCATCCATTCAGTTCGTTCAGGTATGCAATGAGTCCATGCAATAAAATTTAATTACTTATCGATGATGCTTTCCTCTTTTTTCGATCGTTGGTCATCCAAAAGTGGAGAGCAAAAACAAAAACAAAAAAACAAACAAAACAAAAAGACAAAAAAAACAAAACAAAAACAACAACAACAGCAGCAGCAACAACAACAACAACAAAACAAAAACAACAACAACAGCAGCAGCAACAACAACGACAAAAACAAAACAAAACTAAATACAAAAAAAAAAAAAAACATCAATTTCAGAAACTTGTGGTACATAATTGTAAGTGTAATTACGATTATAACTCTCGTATGGGTACCATTCCTAAGTGCATTTTATTTGGATAGTGCACTGCCCAGCTTCGGATACCTAGTGATAATTGACATTATCATGGTGCTCGATAATTTTATTTATTGTTTAACCGGATATTATGATCAGATCACGAAAAAAGTAATTTTAGATCCTAAAATTGTATTTAAGTAAGAGTTTATTTTTAATTTATATGGATGACATTGGCATATAATTAATATTAGGATAAGCAACGTAACAATAATTCAATAATTCTTTCAGGAAGTATGTAACAAGTTTTTTTATTTTTGATTTCTTCTCGGCTTTACCGTTTCAAACAATTGACTTTATTATTAATAACGAAAAAAGTATCAGCTGGTACGGTTCAATTGCCAATTGCTTTAAAATATTTCGAGTGGGCAATCTTATTCGCAATATCCGTCATCTTAATCACGTGAGAGAGAAGAAAACAATTATCAACTATCTTGCCCCAATATCCGTAACATTACGCATTACTTATATTATTATTTTAAAATAATTTCAGGCATACAACGTACACTTTCAAATCAGAATATATTTGGATCTTTTTTTAATATTGACTATTAGTTTGCATTGGTCGGCATGTATGACCTATTATGTGCCATTGTTGATTTTAAAATTTCCCAACGCTATTGACATCGATTCGTTAGTCGTCGTAATTTTATTACTTTCCCATTAATCTTCTAAATTCTCATATGCTATTTCGAACTCGAAAACAGAAAGTCGTGGATATTAAGTAAAAATATGGAGAAACGAGATACGAAAATGAAAAAATATATTTTGTCGATGAACCGGGCCATGATATCGTTAGTTAGCTCGGAACATTATTTAGACGTCGCAACCCCGGAGGACATGATAATAAATTTTATTCTATCCATCATAGGAAAAATTGGATTTATTTATCTGCTATGTTGGTATTTTGTATAATATATATTTGACGAGAGATTAAAGATATTTTTGATATTGAGAAACCAAAAGAAAAAAAAAACATAAACAAATAAAGAAGAAGAAAAAAAGAAGACGAACAAGAGCAAAAGTCCCATAACATTTACAATTTTACATTGCTATATTATTAAAATTCTACGTTTATTATATAAAAATATGAACTACAGAAATTTCGGGCTCTTTAATATTTATTCTATACTTTGGTTCAATTTTCATTCTAATATATTGATATTGATAATATATTGATATTGACAAGAAAATACCAACACACAAACACACATACATATACATATACTAACAAATATTCTTATATTATTGTGAAAAATCTTTTCCAGCTCAGTTTTCGCGGCTCATAACAACCTTACAATCCTTCAATAACGAGCGCCTGAAACTATTGCAGCAATTGCAAGAGTACATGCAGTATAAAGAATTGCCTCGGGTTATGCAAAAGAGGCTACTCGAATATAGCAATTACTGGTACAAGAAGAATTTTATCCGAGACACTCACATTCTCAGTCAAGTATCCGAACCTCTTCGTAAAGTATGGCACGCCTTTTCTCACTTTCACTCTTCTTTCACGGATGGCTAAAATGATTCTCTCCTTCATTGTCCTCCATTTTATTAATTCTATGTGCAATTTTAGGAACTGATATTCCACAACTACAAGAGGCTACTAGATAACGTGAAATTATTTAAATACTTGCCAGAGCCAGCGATCGAAAAGCTAATTATGTTCATTAAACCGGAACTATATTTGTCGAATGATATAATTGTTAAATCCGGTACAATTGGCGATACGATGTATTTTATCGACTCTGGCACTGTTGCCGTCTACTCAAGTTTCGGAAAAGAAGTAAATTGCTTACAATTAATAATATGCATTATAGGGTAGAGTTTAGATTTGTCTCAACTTCCTGCCAGCTCGATCCAATGATTTCCAGTATAATTAAGCATCGTGGGCTAATAACAAAATTTATTATGTAAAATTATTTTATATTACAATATCCGATTGGATATTAATTGGAACGGACGATGATCGTGGTGCGAAGAAGGGACTTTCTATAATCAACACACACTCGATTCATTTCATAATTTTCCTTAATCTATCGTATCCACTTGACAGGTACATCTTTACATATTATTCTTGTCGTCGTTGTTGTTATTATTATTAATACTATGTTATGTCGCGAATAATTTCAACAATAATTGAACATAGTTTGTTCATAAAGAATTTCTTACTATTATTGAACGTTAATTAGAATTCGAGATGAATGCGAATTTCAGTCGCTCAATTTATTCGAATGTTCAAGATTCTCAATATTGAATGTAAATTTGAAAATGAAAAGTTTGATTAATAGTACAAATTCAAATAGCACGAATACAATAAATCATCACATGTAAAAGGAAATTTATATTAAGGAAATACAATATAGATATAAGCATAGCATATGTATAATTTTTGCATACATGCTTGTATATATATAAAGAAATAGTAGAGTAACGCAATTCGCTTAGCGCACTTTGCATATTTTAAATATTAATAAGTAACGGGACTTTGAAATTACTTGAAAACATTTTGGTTGTTGTTGTTGTTGTTGTTGTTGTTGTTGTTGTTTTGGTTGTTGTTGTTTTGGTTGTTGTTATTATTATTATTATTATTATTATTATTATTATTATTATTATTATTGTTACTTATCTAACGTATAAGTAACGTGGAGTTTTTAGTATTGAAATAGAAGAAATTGGAATGTGTGCAATAACTTAGTACAATAGCTTAGAAAGTGCTTAATTATAAACATTTTTTTTTTTTTTTTTTTTTTTTTTTTTTTTTTCCCTAATACATGCAACTCCTAAACACAATGATCAATTAATGGCTTTTATCATAACAATAATATTAAGTACTACAGTCGCATTTATTTACTTAATTATTCATCGACATAATACGCCAAGCATTTCGTATTTGGCCATTGGTACTTAAACGTTGTAAGCGTTCGTATTTCCCATGTCAACGTTGGCATTAACATCCGCATATATCGCAGATCTGCCACTTGGAGGACGGTTCGTACTTCGGGGAGATGGCCTTGGTGATCGAGAACGAGCAGAGAATAGCGGACGTCGTGGCAATCGAGACCTGCGAGATCTTGAAGGTGTCGCGCGACGCTTTCCTGCAGATCGTCGCCACCTATCCCAATTTGCTGGGCCATCTCCAAAAGGTCGTCTTAACGCAGCTGGCTACGAGTGTGCCCCTCAATGACATATACAAGCGGGAAGATTTAGAACGGAATTACGTCAATATCAGCAACTTGCGCAGAGCCATCGGGAGCACCACTCAGAATTAAGAATTTAGAGAGGCTGGGAAGCTACCGCGCACCCCTACTATCAATTCTCCTCGACACATATCTATAAATCGTTATTAATGTTGCAACCCCGTACGAACGAACGATAATAACAATAATAACAACAACGACAATAATAATAATAATAATAATAATAATAATAATAATAATAATAATAATAATAATAACAAATAATAACAAATAATAACAATAATATTAATATTAATATTAGTTAGTACCATAGCAATGATAATGACAATGGTATGGGTAGTAAGTAATAACAGTGGTTAATAATAGTAAATAATGATTTATAAAAATAGTGCTCAATTTTTTTTTAATATACATTCGAAGCTATCGCGTTAACGATATTACTAACGATCGTTGTCTTTGAGTGAAAGCGCGTGTTCTGACGATTAAATCATAAAATTCTAATTAACGAGAATTTGGAGGCAAAGCTACGAGTCGGCAATCCAGCGAGGGAAGGCGAATTGAATTTTCAAATTCAAAAGAAGCGAAATGTTTGGAAATTGCGAGCCTACTTTGACTCTCGTTAAACTTGATCATCACGCGAGGCCGCATTAGCGTAAAATCCAAGGGAAAATCCTTCAGGTACGGTCGTACTTGAGCAGCGTCCGAGTCTCGCGCATTTTCTTGGGATTACGGTAGGACTGTCGGTAGATGGAGGTGAGCCTCCAGTGCTCGGGGTAGTCCGTGTCGCGACAGCCAGCGACGACACTAAAAGGCGGCGCGAGACTGTCGATGCAGAAGGTCCTGCGTGCGTAGGGAGTCCGGGGTCGGGGCACCTGCAGTCTGGAAGGCAGCCCATTGCTCTTGACGGGCTTCCTGGGACAGAGTGCGGAACGCGTCGTCCTCGCGGGGGCCTCGGCTTTGCTCAGCTGGGGACAGCCGAGGCAGTGTCGCTGGGAGTTGGCTCGCCTGGTCTTGGAAGCGTTGCTGCGCTCGTCGGTTAGATTCATCGAGTCCAAGCTCTTGCACAACATAACCTCCTTGGCCTCCGAGTCTGCTTTGCCTCGATCCTGTGAAATTCGAGTCACTCTCCGTGATTTCTTTTCAATACATACGAACAATGCATGCATTATCATATAATATATATATATATATATATATATTTTTTTTTATCATATGAATTGTGTATTATTATTTATGAAATGTAATTTATTCATTATTATTGTAATTAATTAACAATGGAAGAAAAAATTGAGAATTGGGCTTAAGCGAAATCAATTTTCCTTTTTTATGAATTTTATAAATAACAGAGGTTTACAATTTCTCGGTCGTTAAAAAGATTTATTTTTAGAACATTCAATTTCATAAATGTACATTGAAAAATTTTCATTGAAACTTTACGTCTATGTAGTTATATGTGTCGTGTGTTTGTGTGTGTGATATATATATATATATACACAGTAAAATGATTTTTTTGCTAGATACGTGCACCAAAGCTATTAACCGTATTCTCTAAATGGAGTCGAATCATTGCTGTAAGTAAATTAATTCAATATTCAGCTTAAATTTAGCAGCAAATGTGACTTTCGTTGAAGTTGAGAATTTTATGAATTTTTGATATCTATCCTTTAAGGACAGGGTCGTATTAGTATTTTTAAACATCTATTATTAAAATTTCTATTTCTATACTTTATTAATTGTGTATATTTAGGTCGATTAATATTGAAGAGATGAAATATCGTGGTAATTTATTGCATTTTCAAAACTTTTACATTTTAAACTACAATGCATAAAAAATAATGCCAATGATTGAAAAACATGATTTAGTAGATTTTTCTAAATCATCATTTTGGAATAAAAAAATCGACAAACGCATGCACAAGCGCATACTAAAATATTTATATGCAGAAAAATGCATTCCGATTGAAAGTGAAGAAAGATGATGCAAATACTAGCCAAAAGCAAAAAAGATATCCACAATACGGGGACAATATTCTCAGGCAAAGAATTTCTCGTTCTTATTTTATAAACCTTATTTTAGGCAAAGATAAGGTGGGAAAAGTAGATGTGGAGAAACCAAATAATGACTAATGAAAACTCCAAAGTTTCGTTTTTATTTATTCGAAATATTGGAGCGAGAGTATGACTGATCATAGTACAAGTCCATTAAGTCTTTGTAAAACATTTAGTTTAGTTTTAATATAGCAAAGCTTAGGAACAATTCATTACAAACACTAGAACCTTATTAAAAACTTAATTTTTGCCTAACAATCCAAGAGCTTTTCTTTATCGTATCTTTAAATACAATAGAATAATAATTTAGGCAAAATAAACGAAATCGCTCTAAGAGTGGTAGTAATGTTAATCGAATGCGCATTCCAATCGTACAAATGGATTCCCGCAAATGAACAAGAAAATTCAAATTCTTGTGAAAAACTTTGGTAATTAACGGTTCGTTATGTCCACCATTACCTTTCGATTTTCGAGTCTAATTCCAACAATAAATTTCTCGATACCCATGGCGTAATATCAATAAGCCCACGGTAAAATCTTCCAAAACGCTCTTTCTTCATTCGCGCGATTCACCTCTCTCTCTCTCTCTCTCTCTCTCTATCTCTCTCTCTCTCTCTCTCTCACTCACACCACCACCACCTCGCTTCTAGCCCACTCGTTGTTTGTCTCACGTACCTTAAGGCATTTATCGCAATCCTGACAGCAGCGATTCCTCGTAGCCTCCGTCTCCTCGTGCTCCTCGTCTCCCTTTTCTAGTCCCGGTATAGAGCCGTTGTGCACATCGACCTTGGGTTCCGGTTGCTGGACGAGGGTGAAGACCGCTGGGGCCGGTCCGCCGTCGGAGCCGTCGATATGCGGTGCTCGACGGGGCTCGTAGGCCGGATCCGGTGGCGTCTCCCAACAGATGGCCAAGTCCATGTAGGTAGTCGGCCTCTTGCAGCCAAGGGCAGGGCCGTAATGTGACGAGCGCGGCAGATCCTTCCTGCGTCCGGGTTGGCGCCGTGGCACGATCCTCTGGCACCTCCGGGGCGTAACAATTCAATGAGTGGGAATCATTTCCCTTGTCAATACTTTTGTATTCAAATTTTACACGTCCGGGGCAACGATGCAATTCCATTGTTTATGAGCATTATAAGCGGAATTTTCAAATATATTTACTATTTATAAATACTTTATTACTCAGTTAATAGCAAAGTAGGTGCTTTTATGTGCTTTTATGCTAAGTACACGCAATGCTTTAAATTTGGAAATGTGTCGCTTTATTACTTACTGCAACTACAAGGAGATACTTCCATTCGTGCTTCATGACCTTTGCACGGTGATTTATAATGTTATTACATCGATCGGATCGATAGCTCAAGTTAACGTTATAGATAATTTATGGAAATAGTACATGCATTTATAAAACAGTTAAACGATTATGCTTTAATCTGGAAAATTAACAAAGTACAATGTGAATGTATTTCATTTTTTCTTCTTCTTTTTTTTTCTTCAAATTTTTTTTTTTTTTTTTTTTCTCATTAACGAACACACGTAACGCAACGTTTTTGAAACGTAAAGAAAGATGATCGCGACCGTCTTACCTTAAATAATAATTTCCTATATAATTCTAAATGTACGCGTTTCAAGGATTGCACGTGAGTATTCACTCGTCACTGCGTCTCGTCATTACGCTACAATTCTCGACTGTCTGCATTGGCTAGTAAATTGTTTAAAAACAAAAGTGACATCATCGTTTGACAACAAACCGCAGACTCAAAACGTTCGTGAAGGAAAAAACATTGTAAAAATTTATTTGGCTGATTAATTGGATTAAGCGCGAAATATTATAGAAAAACTGATAGCGTAAAGCTTGGGTGATTAAGCACTTCTCCAGCCGATTAATCTATATCTGCGAGGAAACAGCCCGACAAAACAATCGCAAGCTCCACGAGAAAAGCGCGTGTGCCCCAACCCTGGCGAGTATTACGAGAATAACAACAGGAAGGTGCCAACCTTTTGACCGCCTCGCACATGTACGGATCCTCGGCCCTGACACTCGCGCTAAAAATAGCATCGTCCACGCGGTCCGGTAGAGGCTGGTGCTGCAGGTTCTCCGCGTGGAACTTCTTGGCGGTGACGAATCGCTCGATGCACGAGGTGATGGGATGCGCTAACGACACCGACCCCGAGCTCCTACGAGGACAATGGCTGCAGCACTTCCTCGGCATCCCGACAGAGACCGGCTCGTTTCTACGGATAGCTGAGATTCTGGCATTGGCATCCTCGGCCTCGGCGAGGTCTTACCCCACTCGCGCGCATTACACATCCGCCCGTAAGCCTCGACTGTTGGCGCGACGTGGGTAAGCTTTTTTTTCTTGTTTTAACCAAATTTGCAAAGGAAATCCCACGACGATGGCAGAGTCCTCCCCATAGTAATACGGCCGTCTGCAATTTCTCTCTGGTTTCTTACAATTACGAACGACATCGGCTTACGAGCATTCAGCCCGCTATTACAGCTAAGTACTTGTCATCCATCCGGCTTTATTGAGCATAGAATTTGAAAAGTTGGCGAATGATAATGGAGAGTGATGACGATTAGCGAGACTCGTGGACGTGGCGCACTTGCCAACTCGCGCAATCGAAGCTCTGCCAAATCCGTCGCCGCGGAACTTCTGTTTCGGCGCTCGTCTCCTGCGTGGATAAAAGCTCACCTTAACTCTCTAACCCCCCCCCCCTCTGTCCCCCCTCTCTCCACTCCACCTCCCTCTCGATCGTCCTACCTCACCCCATCCGACCTCACCCCGAACCATCCAGACCGTCGATCTAACCTAGCCATCCCACGCCCACACCAGTTCGCTCGGCTAAAGCTCGGGGGCTGTTTACTTGACGACGGGAATAGCTCGATACCCAGCGGATTACGTAATAGGCGCGGGAGGTAAGGAACGAGCGTAAAAGCTGCAGCTCCTCGACGCTCAAGCTCATTCCAAAAAAGCACGCTTGCCTTTTAGTAGGCCATGGCGTGTCGACGGGTGATTAAATGAAATTGGAACGAGAGTCACGGACTGTCGGTGACATCGCCACTCCACAATCGCCATTCGTCTTGTCTTCGCGCAATCTTCGATGAATAGGGGATACTGTCCATTCGCATGCGTCTCTTTCTTTGGAAGTCACGCGTTCGTTGACACACTTACGATATTCGCGTGGATTTCTCGTTTGCGCGGCGACGAAGAGCACACGAAAGACAGCGGCACACGGTTTCTTTTATCTCGCGGTTCATTCTATTGCCAATTCATTTGTTCGATTCGGTACTTTAGACAGGACTTGGTGGGTACGCGTTTTAACGCGTGCATTGTGAAATTCATTACTCACTCGATGCAATTGCTGATTTGCATGCGAGAGACTCTGATTATTGCGTGACTCGTTCACTGTGCGATTCGGTGAATGAGCGTCGGCTACTTTATGAATATACTACACAACATGTTGTATAGTCTATAATTTTTCAATACCATCATCAATTATATACGATCTATTTCAAACGTCATATATATATATATATATACGTGTGCATTACGCACATTACGTTGCATTGGAAATTTTTGATAAATTGAAACGTTGACAAATCGCCGTTTGCATAGACGTTTGTTGGCTTTATAGATGTACAAAGGGTCAAATTGTTCAAGGCAAATATTCCTTTGGCAAATATGTAGGTCAACTGAAATTAAAGAACGAAAGTGAAAGAAAGCCTGTGTACCTAAATCCTATAATCTTTCGAATGCTCATTTATACGTACTATTATTACTAATGGCAATAATAATCTCGCTGTATCAATATTTCAGGATTTTTATTAACGATACAGTCTAAGGCTGTTGAATAAGTAATGATTATTTCACGTTGTTTCCAATCATACATACATAGAGTGCTAAAACGCGTACAAAACTCTCTGAGGCACAAGATAAATAACGAAGGCGACGTTGAGACGTCTCAACGTCGCAGAAACGTACAAATCTCCGGCTTCTTAGGACTAATTCCCAATTGGCTAAGAAATGTCAAAATCGATTGGAGAAGCTAATGAACATGAGAGGTAGGCATATCATATGTACACATTCTCACATTTTCACATCTTACAGCGATAAACTGTCGCGTCATGATTTGAGAACAAAGCGATCGCGATCGATGTGCCCACGCTAAACCCTTACCCACCTTGCAATGGGCGACACCTTTGCACGCCCCCGTATCTCACATACCGAGCGCAGAGAATCTCGTGGCGAAACGCTCGCTCATTGTTGCGATCCCCAGACTCCGGCAAAGCCACTCGACTTGCCACTGGCCAGATCTTTTGTTCGCCACGCGACTGCGGACCATCAAATTGCACGTTCAAATACGCCTTGTCGCGAGTAAAGGAACATCGTTAAGACAACGACGAGTGCTCGCAGTCTCGAGTTGACGTCGCTCGCGACCGGTCACCACTCGACCATTACGTCAATCATTATTCCATAATTTTACAATCCCGCTGTCTTTCTACCCATCAGTCGAACCAGCCCCAACCAACAGAGTCCACCACTGCAACGGCCACAGCGAACCGCGAATAAATATAATCGAGCGAGTCTCGAGGTTACCTCGGTGCGACCTTAAAGTGCCACTGGCTCGTCGCCAATTAATCAAAGGAAGCAAGATAACGTGAGTGCGCGCTCGCGATAAGAGGAGCGAGGCGAGTCGCTTGAACAAGGAGAGATCGATTAAGACAGTAGAGAGCGGGCCGCTATCGCTAAGGTCTAAGGTGAATTTCCTCGTTCACCGATCGAGGCAATTTCCATTGGCCCGGATTCCGCGGCAACGGAGCCACGGACCGAAGTTGCCCGGCGAAGAAGTCGACAGTCGCACCAGTAGAGTCGAGCGCGTCGCGGCACGGCGCGTCGAGCATTCGATTAAAGATTTCCATCGATTAAAGATCGAGGGAGGTGCGAGCTCGATCCCACCTGGCTGCCGATGATCGTGAACGATGGGCACTTGCGATCTCGTCGCACGAGACCGTCCAGCAGTCGCTCGGGCGCGCAACACAAGTAAGAACGTTTAAGATGTTAACGTTTGAGATGTTGAGACACCAGTGAGGCTCCATGTCAATGGGAAATTCTCGAGGGATTAGAATGAGGCGGGTTATTAGTGTTATTAGTGTTATCGGGATTCGGTGATTAAATTGATTTGAGCTATGAGCGAAGGGCTCGCGATGAGGGGTAGGAGCGAAGGAAGAGGCCGTGTCAATTTTTTTGGTTTTATGAAGATTTCGGGCAATTATACGGATAAGAGTGATTCGTGGTGAATCGGCGGTGGTGGCGGTGGCGGTGGCGGTGGCGGCGGTGGTGGTGGCGGTGGTGGTGGTCGTGGTGAAGGAGGAGGAGAAGATGGAGCAACAGCGTTAAAGTCGCAGGGAGCAGCGAACGACATTGTGAGTGAGTCATGGGAAGTAGTACGAAGCCGAAAGCGGCCGAGGAGGATGACGTGGTATTGGTGATGAGCGAGCTGCCGTCAGTAGACGGCCGAGGTCGATCGGCTTCTATGGCCTCGATCCTTAATGACAAGGATGGCCGGAACGTGGGTGGCGAGGGGGAGGAGGAGGAGCGCATGGAACTCTCGTCACCGGCGAACGGAGCTTCCAGTCACGGGCACACGGAGGATCGGCCCGCTGGGCCATACGGGGCCGAGGTTGGTGAGATCAATGAGGAGGCGCCCAGCCGCACGAGTCACGATTACGCCCCGGAGAACCTGGGGACCAACGATGAACTGTCACCGGGCAGCGCGTCGGTGTACACCGACGAGAAGCACTGGATGGTGAATTGGCTTTGTTTACTCTGTATTGATAATGTCAAGTGATGGCGCGTTGAAAGTCCGGGATACGCGGGGGCGTGCGAGAATTATAGATTTGCCCGATGTTACTATTCTTTTCGCTGTATTAGGACTCGGCGGGATATAATAGCAGGCGGCGAACAGGCTGAACAATAATAATTTTTTTTTTTTTATTACGATAGTGATAACTAGTCCGAGGACTCGTGAGCGTAATATTTTTATTGCAATTCTTTATATATAATAACTTGCACTTTTTGCGATAGATGGACATTCGTTTTAATGAAAAAAAAAAAAAAAAAAAAAAAAAAAAAAAAAAAGTATAAAAACGTATTATAGGCTGCGGTCAACTTGTTACTACAGTTCCGCGAGAATTGCAGTACGAGAGATAGTAACTCGTGTAGTTTGTTTGATAGCGATAAAAAATTACCAGAAATTGACGTCGAGTTGTTATTGTTCCACCTCGAATTAGACTCCCCGATCCCCACCCCTTAAGAATTGGAATAGATTTAAGAATTTTTATAGTGAATTTTGTAGTTAACATTGATTAGAAATACACAAAAGAAGTGACAAACAGATTTTCTTTTGTTGCATTTCTTTCTTTCCGTTCATCTTTATTTTTTTTTTTTTTTTTTTTTTTTTTTTTTTTTATTGCTTGATATCATTAAATGCATGCAAGGGATTACTTTATCATTATTATCATTGCCATTATCGTTATTGTTATCATTAGTAACATTATCGATATCGCTGTTGTTGTTGTTGTTGTTGTTGTTTGAATTTTTTTTTTTTTTTTCGAGTATTTTGTAATTGATAAATGATCGAGTAATACAACGTACGTTTCAAAATGTGCCCCTTTTTTTTTTAACAAAGCATTCCATCTGAAAAGAAGATAAGGGACTCGAAGTTCAAACGGATGTCTAAATCGTCGTATCCGATCAGACCAACAGACTATTATTATAAATAACGCTCCGCTCAAACTTCAAAAGAAGCACAGAAATGTTGACGCGACGCGAGCTGACTATCGACTAAATCCTCGTCCCTACCCTCCCCGTCCCCCCTCTCCGAACCCCCTCCCTCACACCCTCCCTCTCTCCCTGTTCAGCCCCAAAAACGAGCACACATTTGCCAGCCCACGCTTTCTTCGCTGATAATTATTATTCAAAGTGACCCGTGCGAATATTCCCAATCCACAGAGCTCGATCGCGCCCAGACATCGGGTGGACGAATTTCCGACTTACCCGGGCTTCTCCGCCAGTGTCACCCCCACACCGGACATGAACGTCTACCAGCAGAAAAAAACGATCGCCCAGGGTATGATGGATCTAGCTCTCATCTCCGCCAACGCCAATCAGTTTCGCTATGTGCTGCAGAGCAGCGGCCGGCATCCCTACTATTACCCGTCGCTGGTCATGATCGGACTGAGCCTCCTGCTGCAGGTTATCGTGGGTATCGGCCTCATCTGGAACAGCCGCTACAACGTCAAGCACGACGATCAGATGTGCAAAGCCAACCGGGCCAATAATTGGACGGTTATTGCCGTATTTCTCGTCACCATTCTCAACGTCTTCATATCGTCCTTCGGCGTTATCGAGACCTCCGAGACTCTCTTCTCCGACGGCACAGCGACACGAGCCTCTTGATTCTGGCCACTCTTATCTTTTCTTTCTTTCGAAATAGCAGCGCGCGTTGTAATAGTGATCGAGGAGGGATTGCGAATACTCATTGATAAGAAAAGACTGACGAGGACTGTCGGATTATCGTCAAATGTGTGCCTACGGGCATGCAAAGCTATACGAAGAGGAGCACAGGAAGGCGATGCAAGTATCGTGATTAGGTCGTAGTAGGAGCTACCGCGTGCCTTCTGGGGCCACTATAATCATAATCTGAGTCAGGGGCTTGAATAAATTGAATAAATCCAGCTTTTCTTTTGTCGAAGAAGAATGAGCGAAAATTGGATCGACGGGGTTGAACGTCGACTACGATGAATGTATGAATACATTCTTAAAAGAAAAAAAAAAAAAAAAAAAACGGTCGCGTTTTTATTTCGTAGGGAAGCACAAAAACGGCGAGAACATTTAATTTTAATTAAAGACGTTCTTTAAAATTCAATGTATTCTCTTTATGTTCATTTATATTATACCGATATTGATCCATGGTATGTGTATATAAATATATATATATATATATATATATAAACCATTAGGCAAGTAATTGTATGGCAATGAAGCAAACATTAGCGTAAAATTCTAATATATTCGGATAATTAACTAAATAGCATTAATTAACATGCGATGAAAGATTACAAATTATCAGAGAATTTCTTAATGGTATAATGTTTCGATTGACATAGTGGACATTCCAATAAATTTATTTTATGGGATATTTTTTATCACTTTAAACTTCGTCTATCGAGGCAAGAGCGGAGCATTCAATTACACACAAATGTACAGAGTAATTCTTGTGCCAATAAATCTACGCATAATCGTAAGTTTCTATATTATGCGAATGAAAATTAACGCAATACAAGTGCTACTTTTGTATTCGCATTAACTGTATAAACGTACTATGAATATTCATATAACCGGCTAGAATCTAAACACATTCTGCTCTCTCTCTCTCTCTCTCTCTCTCTCTCTCTCTCTCTCTCTCTCTCTCTCTCTTTGTGTGCTCGCGCGCGCGTGCTGCTGCTGTTGCTGCTATTGTGTGTAGATATTTTTTAATATTAACATAATATTGTAGAATAGTGTAAAATGCTTACGGTGTATATTCGTGTGTATGTATGCTACACGTTAGATATTTTGTATGGCTTTTACAATAATAAGAGTCAATTTGATGAGAGAACGCGACTTATTATGCGATTTTAACTGTCTTTGATCGATCGACAATAAATAAATTCATATATACCATAGATAAATAACATTATAAAAAAGGATATTGTGTTATGTGCCATTTATATCGAAATAGATAGAGTATAAAGTATTCTAATAATTAATGAAACGACGATAGTCAATTACGGAAGATTTATGCGTCTTCCAATAAAAATTGTTTACTCCCATGCTTTGAGCCACGTAAATGCATGGATAACTACTACCGTCGTTCGCCAACCGAACAATAAATAATTTCAATTCTCCGTCATCATCCATAAATTACATATACTACTTATTATCTATGTAATTGTGCGGACAAAAGATCCTTATTTAATAAATCTTAACTGAATTCGCCTATAAAAAGCATTGCAACGATTATTTAAAACTTAGCGCTTTCCCCACTGACACTTGTCGCCGGGTTCAGCTAGATCGGCGTGACGCAATCGTGGACCATCTGCTTCCGGTAATCTCCGGATTCAAAATTTTGTATGCTGTGGAGCTGAGGTTTAAGGGCGATATAATGTTCGACATAAAGGAAGTCATTACGATTCTTTGCAAATATTTGAATGTTACGGTTGACAGTGCTTTAAAGCCTGATCACTTTAGAGTAGCAAAGTACGATAAGAATTCCGAGGATATTGTGAGTATCGCTTAAGAGTCAATTAGTTGATATTTCGAGGTTATGACAGTTGTATTTTGAAAGTTTATTTTCTTTTAAATTAAGTTGCTTCTTTAATATTCGATATGCCATTAATTAGATAAGCATGTTTTGGACGACCTTGGATAAATTAACGTATTTTGCTTTGAAGGAAGTTAACGATAATAATTCATTCGTCAATTTTGGTATGTTGGTATTTTTCGTTTTTGCTTTCGACAATTGTTTAACGATTTATTTATTATCATTAACTTACGGAAAGATTTTTATAATGTTTTCACAGACAAGTGCACGAGGACTAAGTTGCGTTTGGCTCATTTGCAATATCCATCTTTAGAAATCTATAGCTTGTCAATATCGGCAAATAATTCTAGTATAAGAATATTATTAATTGCTCTTGTGTGGCTCATCGCAAAGTATGACGTATTGAGCAATATTATTAAATTGAAATTAATTAACAGCTCGTTAGGAAGAGAATTTTCTAAGGTCGACACTCTTTGCGTAAGCTATTTATTGTATTGTTTGTTTGTGAAACATTCGTTATTAAGCATATGGAAATTGTGCGTTAAATTAAGTTTTTGATATATTTATATATATATATATATATATATTTGTACGCAGTATACAGATGTGGACGACGTAAGATTATCTTCGATTCAAAATCTAATAAATAATTTATTACATAAGACAAATAAATTAAGTTGCAATTTGAAGGCTATTTCTGAACTGTATCTGACAAAAATAAAACTAATGACTAAAGTTCACACGGCGAGTATCGCTACATGTGGGTTACCACATTTAACTGTTTCTGAAATGTCCTTGATAAAAAAGATAGCAGCAATTCAAGATAACAAAGAAATAGAAGCAGAGAAATTAAAGGAACTGGAGGAAATGGCATCGATGCTAGATATACATATGAAATGGACAAAGAAGAGTCACGTGTTCTACACATGGATGGTAATAGCTTACTAATGACTTAAATGATATTATTATTTGTTAATGCTTCCTTCCCTTATTCAACCATTATTCAAATTGATTTTAATTTAATATTATTTTGCAGAATACAGTTTTAGATGAGTACGAAGAGGCTGATACACCAACATTTGGTCCTGAAGCCATAACGGAGTTATCAAAATTTATTTATCTTTTAATGCACATCGTTAGGAGAAGATTATTTAGAGAGCTATCGAAGAGCGATAGTAACATTCCACATTCAAATTCAGTTCACTGTCCATCCAGACTCTTAAGAGTTCAGAAATCTAATAATAACGAAATGAATGCATTTTTAAATGAAATAATAAGCCAGTATAACACCATAGACGATAATTTAAAAAAACAAAGAACTAACATAGAAATTAAACTTAAATCTATTTTGAGCTTTATACCTAATTGCGTACACGTCTAAATGACAATTACATAACGTTAAATTACATAAATTTTCTAATACACATTCCAAGACTTCAAGACTGAATAATTTTAAGATAATGTTAATGAAAGAATTCCATTATTTAATAACAGACGGCTTATATTTTTAAGTTACTTTACAAATAATGTAATGTCGATGTACAAGTAAAAGTGACAAATATGTATTACGAGCGTATTATAATACTTTATAGACTAGTAATATTTAATGATAAAACAAAATTATTTAAAATACATAAACTGTTAAATCCCAGTGTTCTTTTAAGTTTTAAAATTATTTATATAATAGTACACGATTGTATCGTAATAATAAAATTACGTGAAATACGTCAAATAATACAAACCAGATAATATTACCAATAATATTGCCAATGTATTAATAATAGTCTGAGAAACAAGACAAAAGCTAAAATTAAGAAAGAAAGAAGCTAATTAATTTCGAAATTTTGGAAAGGTATGAAATAATTTTCACAATATTTAGGAACGACACTCTTTATTAAATAAATTATGTACAAGTCCTTGCGTATGGTTACTATATTTTTTCACATCACTGGAATATTATGCTTATTGCACAAATTAATAATTCAGTAATTAAATTCATTCTACTAAAATACATTGACTTCATAGGCCTTAGCTGCTACATCGAATTTATAATTATATACAGTTTTGCCAAATTATAATGGCTTGCTGAAACATTTTCGATACTCGAGTAACAAAAATTGTAAACATTACTAGAAATTACGAGTAAGGTTAGATAATAGTTTTGACATTCTATTTCATTCGATCTGTCAGCGCGCTGATTTATTATTATTAAATTATGGCTTGATCGTAAAGTACACTTAGATCAAAGCACCTTCCATCCGAGTACAATCCACAACTATACAGATATTATCAGGATTATCACAGACTGTGTATTTACAACTTATCTTTAAAGTTCCCTTCATTATCTTAAGTTAGATCAACGTTGCTTCATTTTTTTCCTTGGGGAGACTTACATTTCCCACGCTCTCATAATTAATGAGATCGAAGAAGAAGAAGAAACTTCAAAAGGCAGAGAGTACCTTCACAAGGACAGAATTACCAAAACGTAGCTTGAGAGAATAAAAATATTCTATAACAGTACATGCAATGAAATTTACATAATAATTTTTTATCTGTATTCTCAATAAACGCAGATATAATTTAAGTGATTGTATTTGATTGCTCTGTCTATTATTGGTTTGTTTGTTTGTTTTGTTTTTGTTTTTGTTTTGTTTTTGTTTTGTTTTGTTTTTTTTTGTTTTTTTTTTTGTTTTTTTTTTACACAGTATATCGTGGTTTGAAATATAAGGGCTTGGATAATAAATTGGATACAAAGATACAAGATACAATATATAAGGTTTAAATGAATCAAGAGATCCGTGTACAGGCAAGTACATTTTCAATGTTATCATTGATTGGCTTAAGCCTTACAATTACATCTTGTAATCTTATATATAATTTCTTGTCAAAGCTTAAAGATTAAAAAATGGCCTCTCGGAAACCAATTCTTAAACAATATGTGCTCCTGAATTCTTAAATGCATCATAATCTCTTAACCCGTTGAGGCACTAAAATATATACTCGACGGATAGATTTGAAATCTTTAATTCCAAATGACATGTCACTTGATTTTCAAATACAAATTTCGAATTCAAATAGTAACAATTTGACGTTTCGAAATATACGAATATTTCAGATATTCACCAATGTCGCCAATCTATTCTCACGATCGCATAAATAAATTTCACCATAATAAAAGCTCTTTAAGTTTACTTTACTTTTAGCAATTGAAAGTGGAGTAAGCCGAATTTATTTGGGAGAAAATTGTTGAATTTCGTCGCAAAATCCACTTTTCTTATATTTCTCGCATAAAATATGATTTATTTTTATTTCGGAGCAAAGCGAACTCCTTCGCATCTTTCAAAAGACAAAAAAATAATAAAAAAACAAATGCTCATAATACCACTGTTAATACATTATTATTACATTTAAGCTATTTAGTGACATTGCATGAGCGTCAAATGAACAGAGTTCGTAGCGTCTGGAACTTGGTATTCTTAAATCTTTTCAATAAAATACTCACTAATTAATGTTTACTCTATTTCAATTGCTAATAAGTTGCCATTGAAGTCGCTATTATGAATAAAAAAATATGATAATTTCAAATAATTCGGCTTTCAGTGCTATTTTAGTGCATCAATTTATCGTTAGAATTTTATTTCTATGAAAGCTGAAAAAATGTTCAATCGAATGAAATAAGCAGTAATGCGAGTCCCATTATGCCGTAAAAAGTTGAAAATATTTGCTTTAAATTTTCACTATTCTATTATGTCGTAAAAAAAAAAATCAAAATGTTTTCTTTCATTAACAATTACGGTGATAAAGGACTGTTAAGTTAAGTTGTTTTAGCATGTAAATATACACTATTATTGTAAATCTAGTTCTTAGAGAAAGAAAAATTTAGGTGAAATATTTACAATACTATCCACTTCTCTATTCAACAAATGGAGCTATGTAGGGAACCTGAGAATTTAATTTGGCACCTGAAATCAAATAAGTTTGTTTGTTGCTCAACACTTATGCACATTAACCACTCACAGTATTATGGTATGTGTACAATTTTATCTACTATTATTATTATTATTTTTTTTGGTTTTGTTTTGTTTTGTTTTTTTATTTTTTTGCCTATTTGCTCGCATCTGTAAGATAAAAGATAATATATGGACTTGTAATACAAACCAGTGTCTTTTTTTTTTTTTTTTATAAAATCATGCGATTTTGTTAAATATACAATAGTGATAAATAAACAGGTAAATTTTAAAATACTTTAAAATTGTAACAGAACTAAATTTGTCGACTACTCTACTTACACGTATAATCATGAAACAATTGACAGCAATGAATTATAACAGCAAAAATTAATACTTTTTTTCTTCTTTCTTTTTCCCTTATCATTGAACAGAAAAGCCGAAACGATCCCATACCTTTAAAATTTTACTCTCCTTATCGGGAATACTAGACGGACGGCTATTATTTAAGCATTCTAAAAGAAAGAAAGAAAGAAAGAAAGAAAGAAAGAAAGAAAATAAAAAGTATTGAAAGCAAAAGTCTTGTCAATCATCATTTTGACGAGTTCTTATGAACAAGGAATGGTATTGGCAAGTCCCAGTCTGTGATGACATACGAGAACGATCACAAGCAAACGTAAACGAAAAGGATAAACACGAAGGTTATTGGTTGCAATCGCTTTAAACAAATAAAAAAAAATCCACTTTACCGAATTAAAATTGTTGCACAGAAAACATTTACATACGCGCACATAGCCAGACGTACACACACGCGCAGACACAACTGAAAAATAGTTCAATTTTGATGATAACAAGTAATCGATGCACAGGTTTTGAGCTTTTTGCTTCACTGAACAGTTAGGACTACCGATCAACGACATGAATCGAAGAGAAAACGAAATCCTGCCGAGCAAACTATCTTCAGACAGGAGAAATGCACAACTTCCGAGATAAAACATATTTCGTTGACAATGATTAAAACTTATTTAGCTGCTTTTTAATTTTCGAGATATACAAATTCGTAAATTCACTACAATAAAAATAAATAATATACCGACAGAATTGCAAAAAAAAAAAAAAAAAAAAAAAAAAAAAAAAAAAAACAAAAAAAAATTCATAAATAATGCACGTGATTAATCTCTTACTTTGAAATTACATCACATCCAAAGCTTTTCAAGTATATTACACTATCTATAAGGGTTTTCTCAATTTCCCCATTAAATTCCAATCAACTCGGCTCCAATAAAATTGAATAAGTTCTCCACGAAAGAGCTGTATGAAAAGTTAAATTTTATCCCGCGGCTCGACCATGAGATACGGTTACACTCGAAATCGCCAAATAACTAAAACTTTACAAACTGGTAAAACAGAAAATAAAAATAAATAACAGTAAACCAATCTACGACGATGAATTTGGATTTCGACAAGAAAATAAATAGTCCGCAGATCGACCGTACGTACGCATTAAAATAATTAAGCGTTGAGCGTCCAGTAAAATAAAGAAGAAAGCAGCGAGTCATCAAATCTCATTGCCCAAGCGTCCAACGAAAGTATCCATAAAAGAATAAAAGAAAAAAAAGAAAAGAAAAGAAAAGAAAAGGGAGAAAAAAAGAAAGGAAAAAAAGACATCGGGTCAAACCAAAATGGGACGAGTGGAACAGAACGTACTTGCGGCCAATCGACTCTATACTTAAAAATTGACATCGGGAATATGCACGCTGGGGCCGTGTAGTCCCACGGGCTCCGCTCTCGTACAAAACCATGAGAGAAGTAAATATGATGGTAAAGGACAAGGAGGAGGACAGAGGGGAGGATTGTCCGTCAATGGATGAGAATGGGAGGACGACGCGGCTCTACCGCGCGAAGCCGAGGAAGTCGGTGAGTCTGTCGTTCCAGTCGTGGAGCCAGTGCGACGGCCCGTTACCCTGCTGGGGCCTCGGCGACCTCTGCTTGCACGGGCTCAGCTCCTTCTCCGGCGGCATGTACTCCTCGCCGCGGATGCAAAAGTAACTCTTAATGGGGCTGCGACACATGGGGCAGCGGTCGAGCTTGCCAAAGCAGCTCGCGCAGATGCAGGTGTGCCGGCAGGGGAGAAGGGCCCGCGAGAGTGGAAAGTACTGGCAAACGACGCAGAGCTGCTCGCCGGCGCTGTTCCAGAGGGAGCCTTCCGTATCCCCGGGCCCCGAGGCCACGAGGGCGTCTCTCGAGCCGGCTCCGTTGTTGGGACAGGGCTCGGCCAGGGCGAGGGCAGGCCCCAAGCCAGACGAAACGCCCATCTCGTCGTAGTTCGTCGAGTTGCCCGTGGCTAGATACAGTTGCTGCAAATTAATAAATCCAGCGATTATTCAGGGATCTTGGTAGAGTGCCCAATCTCCTCGAGAGATCTTGGGGCTTTCTCCGTAGCCGCCAAGGGTTGCCGTAGCATTGTTATACGACTGTGGATTAAGAGGATTTGAGATTTTAAGCCGAAACTTGGTTGAGTAAGATGACTCGAGTGTCCAATAATCGCGTTTATTGGTCCTCGGACATTGGAATGACGGCCGAGGATTTGAATTGATTGTTGACGCTACGAACATTCGAACGTCGAAATGATATTAATAATCAATGTATCGGAGAAATACCGAGGAAGAGGAGAAGTTGGATGGACATGCGTATGGAAAATTTTAAATGCCTCGGCTTTTATGATTGGAATTTGCGTTTTAACGCGAGTTGAATATTAATGAAATATTAATAATCCATCGGGAAATTTGGATATGGAAGGAGAGTTACGAGAGAGAATCTAATAATTAAATGATGGATGCTTTGTTTGTTTTTTGTTTTGTTTTGTTTTTTGTTTTACACGCTCTACTACGGTCGTCGATATAAATTCTCGTAAACTACCACATCCAAGTCATTAATTCTAGTATTAAAGTGAGCTTTGAAAATTTAATTAATAACAAAAAAGCGGCAATTAATTGATGAAAAAATTATACTTAGCTCTGCCTAATATTAGAATAGTTGTAGGATATATTGAATAATGTTAAAATAATTGTAAGTACCAGAATTACCATCGTATTGGTAATTAGGCTGGAAAACTTCACATTGGGCTAGAAACGAAAAATTAATGGAAAGAAATACGTAACGAACGGGGCATTGAGTAAGTAAGATCAATAAGAAAGGTCGATAATAATTTTGGAAAATAGGTTTCGGACGTAACGTATTATCGTCGAGCGTATTATCGTGATCACGATAGCATAGGGAGAAAGTAACTGCGGTGATTATTACGTTAGTTTTCGTATAGCTCGTAAAGTAATTACCGTCTTTACTAAAAAAAAGGTCGAAAGTTCGATTTTCTTAATTGGCCCGTCTCATCTTGCAAATCGTCACATTGCCAAACACACGAGACTTTCTTTCAAGCTTTAAACAAAAAGTCATTTATTACTAACATTGACATTGCGAAATTAATTTGGATAGCTTCAATGGCTAACACCAATGGCGATAACATTAATGTCTTTAGTAAGATACGCAGTTTTTCTCTGGCCACGTTACATTCTATTAAGTAATAGAGAACTTCTTAAAATTGATTACGACAATTTAATAATAATAATAATAATAATAATAATAATAATAATAATAATAATAATAATAATAATAATAATGATGATGATGATAATAATAATGATAATAATAATGATAATGATAATTATAATGATAATTATAATGATAATGATAATTATAATGATAATAGAAAATTAATAAGCGAATAGAATGAAAAAATAAAATAAAAAATACAATTGTTTCGCAAAGAATTCCCTATAGATTACGTACGACAAACAGTGTATTAGCGACGTTTTATCTTTTCCCAGATAATCATGTAAATAAACAAATCGATATTTTATTACGGTAAATAGCCGTGCCAAATACGATTTTATGTATTGTGCATTTTTATGCATTATTATTGTTATTGTTATTGTTATTGTTATTAGAAAAGGTACAATTTTTATAAAATCATGAGCGTGCAAAAGGGAAAAAAATTTTTTCCGGTTCTTCGTATTTTTTTTTTTTTTTTTTTTCAATTTTAGAATCTTCATCTATAATGCCGCACCGCTCGAACTTATTGTTGCTCCTATTTGTATTAGGTAACAAAACATCCGTAACGTTACACGTTTAATTTTAAATTGAAAATGAAGTTTTTGACATTTGAATACCCACTGACCGTTGCGCTTGACACATCCGTGACTCACGAGATTAAATATTTTTGTTTCTCAATTTGCCAATGCCTACATTGGATAAATAAAATATTATAAAAATTGTTTTAATTTTGCATTACTTCATTGGCTTTACGCGCACAGAATATTATCAAACAATCGTTTATGTATAATATTCGATGCTAATGAAACGAGATAAAGATAAAACGACTATCGCGACTGTTGATCGGAATAATTATTTGTAGCGACAATTCTTATTCGATGAATAAATGCGTGGGAAGGAATGGAGTTATAGTGCGTCGAGATTGTCATGATCGCAAAAACTTGGCAAACATAATAACCAATGGATAAGGCATAGCAGTGAGGTTCGATCGGGTTAACTCGAGATGCGAATAAAATGTGGCTAGGAAGGAGAGCGGCGGAGGAGACTGGCGGAATAAAAGCCAATGAAAGAGATAAAGATCCTGAAATATTGTCGCTAACGGCATGAGGCTCACCTTGAGACAGGACAACTGCCCGTTAGCCTGTTTCAGATACTGGGCGAGAATCGAGGTCGGCAGTGTGCAGACACTATCCTTAATATGAACGACATTCACCAGCGCAACCTGCAAACACATGAGAAAGAGAATGTCGTATTTAGTCGCCTAATATGCTAAACAAACGATAAAAAAATTTTATTTTAATTCTGATATTACGAAAGTAATAGGTAGTCGCGTGATCGATGATCGACAGCTCTCTCATTAGGCTAAAGCGTAACGATTTTCATTATTAATTCGTGCACAACGACTCTTTCACCGATGAATTTGGATTTACGTTATGGATCTTTTGCTTTTCGATTCGCTGCTTTCGTAGCTTATTCCGGCTACGTGATTTTATTCGCTTTTTTTTCTCTCTCTTTCTCTTATCGTTGATTGGTTGTTTACAAATATAGGTGGTAATGTAAAGCGATATTGTTTTAAAAATACACTTCTCGCGCACTAATATATATATATATATATATATATATATTTATTTAATTTGATACATTTCAGGCATTTGTCGTATAATAAAATACTTGGAAACGGCTGACATTAAATTTTAATAGTTTATAGTTTTTATTTATTTTTCAGTCATTATTTTAGTTTTTTCTTCTTTTTTTTCTTTCTTTTTTTGTTTTGCTCTTTTATTTTTGGCATTTGTTTTTTATGGCATTTAGTACTTGTGGGCATGGCTGCGTCTAAAAATACGAACGTACTAATTTATTTTTGATTGAGTTTTTGATAATGAAATTCACGCGCTATTACTGTTATTTACCAATAAAACTTTAACCGTTAATGTGCCATTAATAGTAAAATATATTTTTAAATTTAATGTGTATATTTAAAAATAGAAACACGAAATGCCCAATAAAATACGCATTTGTGAAGCATAAAATGCAATTTACTTCTTCGAAATAGGCGGATTGGTTTAATTTTAATGTGACTTAGCTCGGATGATAGAAAAGTTTATTGATAACGCGTATATATAGACTTTAGTCACTGAGCATCGGCATCGCAACATTCTTTCTTTAGGAAATTGGACGCTGTTATTTGTGCAACTCTACGGTGATTATCGCTAAATCTTGTTTGTTTGTTTTTTTGTTTTTTTTTTTTGTTTTTTTGTTTTTGTTTCTTATTCAAGCGTTTATCGCCCCATTAATATAGAGACTAAATTCGCTCCGCTTAAACTAATTATAATAAAAATATTTTGCTTGTGAATTAGTTTCTTAATTATTTTAAATTCTTTTTTATTTGCTCGGCGCTACTTTCTTCAAAAATTTAATTTGACATTATCTTTCAGCACTCGAACAATCTTATATTCTAAAAAGTGACAATGTTAATCTAGGCAAAGACGATACTCGTGACATTATTTGTAAATACGAATTTTCAAATGTCAAAACAATTTCATTTACCAAATGACATATTTTCACTATTATTTCTTAATTTAATTGCTTTCAAATTATATTTATACCGATTTGTCTTTCTGTCACACTACTTTTTAGAACGTTCATAAGATCTCATAGGTTGAACGATAATTTTTTAAACCGATTTTTCTTTAATTTCCCATTTAATACATAATTGCCCTATTAAACTGACTTTTAAAAAACCATTGTAAACAATTGCTTTATTTAATTATTTCCTCTTTCTTTTATTTGTAAAAGACAGTTTTGAAGCTATGAAATATCTTACTACATTTAACTAATATGCCTTTAACATCCACAAAATGAATTATCGCGCAAACATTGTAACCATTGATGTTTGCTTTAATAACCGCCCAAAGATAAATATTTTATATGTCGATAATCCAGTGCTCCATATATCTAAATATCCGCGTCTAAAGCATATGTCAAGTTCCTTTATCGACAATTTTACGAACCTCTGGCAATTGTTTTCAAAGTCACGCAATAACGAGCAAAATTATTTTTCATCTACACTCACGACGGCTGTTCTGACCACTAACAAAACTCAATTTTTCACACCAAAATGTGGGCGACGAAGCATCGTACTTCCGCGTCTTTCGTCTGCAAGTCAAAATTTGCCGCTGAAACGTTCGTACTTTGCTCCTCTATCCACGACTCTCAATGATATCAGCAAACACGTTTCTGCGCCCCCCCCCCATATCAAACAACTCGCCACCTGACGGTTCAGCTGAGGCGCCGCTTCTTTTCTTCAATCATAAAATCACAGGTAAGGAAACGTAACGTCATCATCGGTACTTCTTTCAAGCAACTCACCGTCTCATCCGGGTGCAACTCCCTAGTGTCCCTACGCGTCAGAAAGATGACGAGGGGGTAGCAGAGCCGCGGCGGCGTCCCCAACTCCAGCTCGGGTGCCGGCAGCGAGAGGCTCAGCGTCTCCTCCCCGTGTGGCTGTCTACTATTAATTTCGTTTTCTATAGTCAAGGACAAAACTGTATAAATACTCGCAAATTCGACAACATTCATTTTCGCTGGCAGCAGCAACTTCCGCTCACGTTCGCGATAAATCACCGATTCTCCATCCCATTAACGCATACCGGACGTTGAAGAGCTAGCGACGCTACGATTATGGTATTATTATTAAAAGTACCGATATGTCCTTTTCATATGCAGCTGCTCTCCACATACGATTACCAGGCTCGAAAAAAATATATTACCAGACGATATCGTGCCCTGACTAGCACCTAACTGCCTACGAAATTTCTATAAAACCGATGGTAATTTCATTATACGTCTTATGATGATATGCTTATGATCGCGTTTATAAGTGATTTAATATAACGATGATTGCATAACGGACTCACGATAAAAATTCACGGTGCAAATTATTTGAACGCTCGAAACGAAAGAACCAAACCACTATTTTTTTTCCCCCGGAACGCGTTTCCAAGGGAATCGATTTTAATTTAGCCCTGCCACGTGAAAGCGTCGTTTCACATCGACCCCCCCCCCCCCCCCCCCCCCCCCCCCTTGAACGCTCGAAACGAAAGAACCAAACCACTATTTTTTTTCCCCCGGAACGCGTTTCCAAGGGAATCGATTTTAATTTAGCCCTGCCACGTGAAAGCGTCGTTTCACATCGACCCCCCCCCCCACCATCCCCTCCCCACCAGTCCATGACTTCCTTCCTTCTTTCGAGACGCACGGAATGCAAATATCCTCGCGGATCCTCGCCACTTGCCGTGCCTTCTGACGCACGTTAGAGATAAATAATCGTTAAAGGCAAATAATCCTCGCGTCGAAGGAAGTCCGGGAGAAACGGCGCGACCGACGGAAACGTCGAGGAAGGGAGACGCAAAGGAGGCGAAGGACCAGACTGGTCCTGAGCTGAGAATATGCAAAAGGATACGCTTGGGGTGGCGTGAAATACTGCGCGTGTCCTTGAAGCAGACTGCCATTGAGAGACGCATCCCTCAAGGCACTCCAGGGCTTCCAAAGCGCTAGGTGCAGTTCCCGGATGCTGACGCCCCAGATGGCCTGTAATGAGTACTCGACCTGGCTGGAGACCTCGCACTCTACCTCTGCAAAACAGACAAAGACGAAATTTATTAAAGAGATGAGATTGAGCCTCGCATTATATTGGATTATAGCGTTTCGTGGGTAACCCAAAGAGCGATGATCGCGTTAATTGTGCATCGATTATTGGTCTTGGATGGCTCGATAAACTATTATAAACTTCGTATTCATCGTTTGGTTTCAATTTAGTGGCTGCCGAGGCAAATTTTCGTGCCCCAAGACTTGGATAAGATGCCCCATATCGCCTAAAACCTCAATTGTATCCTCCTTAATGTTATGCTCTCCCTCTCTCTCTCTCTCTCTCTCTCTCTCTCTCTCTCTCTCTCTCTCACTCTCTCTCTCACTCGAGAGACTACTAGAGAACAAGCAATCGACATAAGCGGCATATAAAAAATAATTATAAATTATTGATATTGTTATTCTTTTTATATTTGACGCTAGTTTGATGTAATAAAAGAAAAAGAATCAGTGCAAATTATTATATTATGTATAGTAGGTAAAAGAATATTGATAAAAGATCCCTGTGTAAGCAGTGATAAAGCGTGGGAGAATGAGCTTGGAAAATGTTCAAAAGATTCATTATTATTCTGCGTACATGCGGACCGAATGCTGAAACTTTGGCTCAAATCACAAACATATTGAGGAGGGTAAACGCACGCAATTATCATTTGGATCTGGCTATATTTCGTCATGAAAATTATAAAATTCCCAATTTCTGCTCGACAAAAGTCTACGCGCTATGAAAATTGTGTTCATTTTTTCTGATCCACTTTAGGTTGTGATAGCCATAAGTTGGCGATGAAACTCAAGGATATTTCCCATTACATTAAAGTACATATATCCTTTAATTTTTGTACACCAATGAATTATTGCAAGATGCACGCATCGCTTATAAATCGCATCAACTTTATATTAATATTAGCACATAGCGTCCATAATATCAAGTTAGTTTTCAACTTTACATACTACGACGAATTTGGAATCATTTTATAAGCCTTTCTTCTTTTTGGCTTTCGTATTGTCAAAAGCGCGTAATTTCACGATTCATAACATATTGTACGCGTTTGGATTGATTTTCTCGATCGTATTCTCTCATAACAATTGTTATGCACGTTCTACGAATTTTTTAAAAACAGTGTTAACACACAGAGAGAGAGAGAGAGAGAGAGAGAGAGAGAGAGAGAGAGAGATAAAAGAGAAGTTTGCATATAAAAATATGTGAAAGACTTGAATTCAACGATTTAAGCAATACGCTTTTAATATGTTATTTTATTGCAAAATAGTGAGCGTAATAATTTAGTCTTTTAACAATTAATCTTTACGACACTCAATTCGTTGAAATAACAGAGGACTACATTAACCAGTTGAAATATTCTTTATACATTTTTATACATTTAATTAGTTATTTATTTATTGCTAAGCCATTTATTCAATATAGTTTTCATTGAATAATGACTAAAGGCTCGGCGTTTCAAAATAAAACTGTAGCCTCGTGAACGAGGACAAGATTTATAATGTATTTTTAAAATTAAATAAGATGAAAGATAAAAGAAGAAAGGTATTAGTAATCATCCAAGTGAGTGAATAATTATTATTATCCTATTTTGACCATACGTATCGCAATTCGCAATCATTTAGATCAAAGGCTATTTGTAGGAAGAATTCGTTATTAATTCAGGCTCTTTTCATTATTTAATTAAATAAAAGATTTGAAAGCTGAGCTATTAAATATTTTTATTGCTATCTTAAAAACATGATCTATTCTTGTCGGTCGATTGATAAGTCGCAACTGAAAAGTTGAAGTTATTAGCAGCGATAGATTATAGAATCGCCGATGAATTAATTATAAATGCTCTCTTGGAAATGATAGCCGACAATAATAATCGTACGTTTCATAGAATAAAACGTATTTTTTATATCCAAACAATAATTCGAATTGTTTATTCATCAATAGGTCATCGGTGTAAATTTAAATGCGAATTTCAATAAAAATTTAACGTTATCGAAAAATCTAAAATCAAATGCTACACGCAATTTATTTCGTAACACACATTTACTCAATACATATCCAATGAATGTAACGGTTATACATAATTAAATTAACGACCCAAGTTGCAAAAGATGATGTTCTGAAAGGAGAAAAGGAGTCAATATTGTGGGCGATGGAACCTAGGTATAATCTACTTACCAAATGCGGGTGCTTTAGAGGTGGGAAGTTATTTCGAAGGCGAAGTGAGCGAATCTTTATAAAACTTTTTGCATAAAAAAAAAAAAAAAAATAAAAATAAACGGATCTTGATAGTCCGCGCCATTCCTATAGAATTTTAATGTTCATTCTTGATCTTTAATGGGCATGCTCATTTTTTCCAAAGATATAAAGTGTCCTTACGGATTGCTGGATTTATTAATTAAAGGGAATACTTAATGCGAGTGTATACTTCTGAAGACGATGGTTTAACAAAAAAAAAAAAAAAGATCTCCCCTACTTTTACTCTATCAAATGCTTTTCATTTGGCCCCATATCAAACCACCAAAATGAGATCAAAGTTAACATTCTCTGCATGGTTTTACGTGAAATTTTGTAAAACCCAGGTTTTGGTGAACTTAATTTCTATATATATATATATAAATTTATATTTATCGCCTCAGCAGTAAATTTACAAGTTGTGTGTGCGCGCGCGCGCGCGCACACACACACACACACACACACGTATATATATTGAATTCATTTATATTATACCGTACACCTTGAAAGTACATTTTATACACGAAAATGACAGAAAAATCTTCAACTGACGTACCATAGTTCTAATATTATACTTATTTTCAATCTGCCGTTACTGCAATTCTCACAATTAAATGGTTAATTTGAAATCGACGAAATTTATTCTTTACTCATTGTAACACACATGCTGTATTGCGATAAGAAAAATTAACTCCAAATTTTATTATACTGTAAGTACTAATAATAACATGTGCTCTAACATAAATACAATATATAAATGTATTCCGTTTTATATGAATATATATAATAATTGTAAATGGGGTATTTAATAACTAATTTTCGAAGCTCTTGTTATGTTATTTATTTTTAATTTTATACTCATCTTAATTAAATATTCTATATTCATTAAAATCTCCGAATTTAACTATTCGTGAAACTTTCTAATACAAAAAAATCTCGTCTTACATTAACTGGCACCTCTTAAAGCTATCTATACACAATTAAACGATCAATCAAATTTATAATATCTCTATAATGTGAAAATAATTGTTCGATTAAATGCGCTTTAGTATTGATTTTTACAAGAAGAAAAACTCTCCTTAAATTACATGCCTTTCATTTTACTTAGAAAATCTTTTTCTTTTATCTTGCATTTATCACTTTTGTCAGCAATGAGTATAGGATCGGAAAAGATACATAATTATTAATACGCTTACGTATGCGTAGCGTCAAACAGCGTTTGCGTGACTTTCATTGCGTTGCATATCGCACAGAAATAGCGCGCTAAAAAAAAAAAAAAATAATAGTTTCGTTATTACGAATCGTGTTTCATTCTTTAGAATAAAAGGATTGTAATCGCCGTAAAGTTATATTATCCGTAAAGTATTATCTGGGATAATAATTTAGAGAATTGTGAAGCATTTTATATGAAATGTCAAAGTATACTTGGGTAAAATTTATTTTGACTTTAAAGTGACGTTAATCGTTGCTGATAACGCGTGAATAATAATATGAAAAACGCTGTTTCCATTTCGATTGAAAGAAACATATTTTTCATAATTGAGGCAAAGGATTATTCTTATATGTTTATTGTGCATTTATGCTGGCTTATTGTTTCCGATAAAAAATAATATTTTAAATAGATTGAATAAGAATTTTCAATGTTTTATCATAATATTTATTGAAATGTCGACTCGTACGAACGAACATCACATATTCCAATGGCATTGAGGCTGCAATGTATTTTTCAATTATTTAATTAAATGTAATTATCATTATTATTATTGGATGTGTTTAAATGTATCGAGCATACAGTTTTGGAAGTTCAAGTTTTTTTGTTTTTTTTTGTTTATTGTTTTTATCATTTTAATCATGACTGAAAATATACCTTTAAATATGTGTTGCAAATATTTTTTTTGATGCAACAAATACAATGCAAATTATTACTTTATTATTATTTTAATTTTTTTTTTGTTTTTTTTTTTTTTTTTTTTTTTGTAATTTCAAAATAACGTTTATAAATAATTTCTTGTAAGTAAAAATGCAAATGTGGTCTTTTTTCAATATATTGTCCCGCACAATTGCAAAAAAATACTTTAGTGTTATACCCCGTACGATTATCATCAATATAATATGCAAGATTCTCTAATAGAAAGCATATAAAAGATTATAAAAGGACAATGAAAAATACAAAAATAATAATAATATAAAATAATAATATAAAATAATATACAAATACAAATATACATAAAATATAATTATATTTGATAGAGCACAACTTTTGAATTGTAAATAAAAGATGTAGAAAGCACATTAAGTTATTTCAAATATCCGAATCCAATAATTAAACTCTTCTCAACGGTACTTTAAAATTCTATTAGCATGAAAAATCAAAATTTTAGTAATACGCATATGAGATAATAATTCTTCATTTAAATAAATTGCGCTATTTAATCAGATTGTGGATACCATTTTTTCTATCAAGCATCGAAATATACAATATATCGTTCAACATGATTATGGATTAATATATTAATTTTAGAAACAAATACATTATTAAAGCATAATTGCTCGACGTTAGCGTAAACTCTTTAAATATTTAAACAATTTCTCTTGGCTCTTATCGCTACATAATGGAATTTCATTAAACAACTGGCTTTTAATTTATAAAGCCAGTTCGATAAAGCAGCAAATATTATGCCTTTAATACTGTTGCGCAAACTCCAAGCATCTTCAACATGCATACTCCTTCTATTACTTTTAATTTTACGATCGATATTC